ATCTGGAAGCTCCAGATGCCTCCATGATTTCTCAGGCAAGCAAACAGGAAATGTATAAATTTTAATGTCATCCAAGACAATTTCTTTTGCATTAAGCTCGTGGTGGGTAGAGTTCCCACAAGGCCACTGCAGTGTCTTCTGAAGAGGAGGCCAGTAGCTTACAATTGGTTGAGAATGACACAGCATTACACTACAAAAAGATGGGGAGAACACCTGTTTTTAATATATCTTTATGATTTAAAAAATAAACGGTGGAAGAACAATAGCCAAATAGAATCTCAGCTTCTAAAATCTATAAAGCATGTGTAGGTAGGCGCTATAACGAAGACTCTTCTATATAAGTGTGTATATGTGCATGTCTAGAGAATAATCATCCCCAAATGCCCCAACCAGTGAGCTTCATTCTGAACATGTTTAACAAGCAAAAGAGCAAGCACAGCCAGAATAAGAATTTCTAAAGTTAAAGAGAGATTTTCGGCATACCATAGCACTGTGATACTTCAATATTGCTAAAGCATTTCCTTTGTGATAATTATATATCCGTATTCTGCCATAGAGGAAATAGAAAAAAATGAATTCTGGAAATAGATCATAAACTGAGTAAAAGATAGTCACAATTAGAAATAAATAAAGCAATTAAGCAATACACATGTCCAGATCTTCCGGATTATTCCATTTTATGCTGATTGAACAACAGAATAGAAACAGAATTGATATTGAATCTTTATTCTAAAAGATCAATATGAAAAATCAAATTCAGTAAATCAATAAATTATGCTAAGAACTAAAAGACCAACAAGATAGATGGTTACTCTAGAAAGATACAGAATCTCAGGGTAAGGGAATAGTCATTCCACATGTGAACAGGACCATGGAAATCAGGTAATTACGTGGATAAGAAATGTCAGATTGCAACCTTTCATGGAACCATTGATAATCTTTTGTAACTGGGAGGTTTTGCTCATTTAAGTATAGTTCTCTGAAAGCAACAATTTATCTTGCGCATATTCATTTCTGAGCTAGTAAGCTCTTCAGAATGTACAGAATTGGCTATTTTGGATTGTGAATGTTTTACATATACATGTAGCTATATCTTATTTGTCCGTTTCATTTGTATAATCCCCATAGAAAATGAGACATCGTATAAAATACAGACAACATAAACACACATCTCCAGACAATGGAATGAAAAAATGGAAACATGAACCTGTGATCCCAACCAGCAGTAGCAACAATTTTGCCATCTGTACGAATTGAGGTGCCAGCTATGCCAGGCCGATCCAGAGCAATTTCCTTTTTGACTTGACAAGAACCCTATGCCAAAGAACAAATGGAGAAACTTGAATATTTGGAAGAAAATCTGAACACAAAATGTTCTGCTAGATATAAAGTAGCTAGATCGTAGAAGATCAGCATATTGAATCAAAAAGGCAACTGTTAATAGAAACAAAAGATTCCCTTCATATTTTTAGTTCATACCCTTTCTGGGTCTCAATGGAACCCGTCTTCAGAGTTTAAACCTGTAGTTTCTTTTAAGACCATGGTTACCTGATTTGTAGGTTGGTTTGAATTCATGTTCGTGATTCAGCTGAATAAGGTTTGCTAGGGGGGTACGCTTCTACTTTGATTAGTTGCAACTTTTTGCATGATTTTCCTGCACATAATGTTTAATAATTTGTTCAGCGTAGTAGATTATTGTGCAATGAGTCATGGTTGAGTTTTGCATAATGTCTGGATGCAAGTACTTTCTCCATATTAATTAATCGGTAAATTGCTATGGGGAAGAACTGTTGGAGAAAATCAAAGAAATGATTTTAATTTCCTATGGTTTAGTTTCTTTTAGCTGCAACTATACTTTACTTTTTTACTTTTCCAAGTAAGGAGTAAAACCAAACCTGAAACAACCACCGACATGTCCCTCTTCAAAGTGCCAAAGAGGAAATTTATAACTCCACTTGAGCTACACAAATAAATCCAAACTAAGGCATTAGTGCCTGTTTTCTTTGGCATGATCATTCACAGCAAGCTGTCTTGATCTTTTCCAATGTGCAGAGAGATTTCTCCTGTGCATAAGGCTGTAGGAAAGTCCAAGATCTATCCAGGCAGTCCAAGATCTTCCACCTATGTATATAACTTCTGACAGTATTGATATATTATTTGGGTTTTGAGATGATTTAGGTAGAGGTGGGACTCCTAGAATATTATTAGCTGGATGAGAAACCTCTAAATGCCTTGGAGTTGGATAATTCCATTGAGGAGAGAAATTTGACATCTAGAGTTAATATCTCATTCAGATGGATCTAGTGTTTCATGGACATGGACACGTAATCAGAATCTGACTTGTGTCCAGAAATCTGACTCAGATAGAGAGTACACACACTTATTCTAACATTATATACTCTTTAAAGTTCAAATTTGCTACTCGACAAAATTTTTGTAGGAAAAATGGCATTCCTTGTGTACATTAGTTGTTCATTTATGTCAAATAAGAAAGGAAAGAAAACAAAATGTTACATAGAAGTTTCTCTCAAGTATCTATGGAGTGTCAGTATCTGAGATGTGTCCAATATGGACACTTCATCAATTTAGCATAGTCCATGTAAATCCCAATGATTGCTATCAATGCTAATGTAAAACATCTTTATTGATTAAAAAAATGCAAAGACGGATGGATCCTTATATTAACTAACTCATCTAGGAATATATTGGCTAGTGGCAGGGTAGGCAGACCTGAGTTGTGTTAGGGACCTTCTCTCCTTGGGTAAAGATTGGGCTTTCTCTTTTTTATTGTTTGTTGTTTTCCCATTCAGTATAATCTGTTTTTTTTCCAATTTTTTCACACCTCTTTATAGTGTAGATTGGGTTGCACTTCATAAGGAAAAATGTGGATTGGGACCCTAGTTATTCAGACCCATGGTCATGTATCTTTTCAGTCTCCTTTTAATTAACAAATACATGCATGTAGAAGTTTTGTGATACTGAGAAATACTACAATAAATATCCATGCAGTATCCAGTGTCGGCACTGATGCCATCATGTCAACATTGGTAAGCTAAGCATATAAAGATATCCAGGTATTATGAAACTTTCAAAGAGGTTTGTTTATTTGGAGCAATGCGTGTGGATTATATCCCATAAATGCATCAATCCAAATCATTCAATTCTTTGGGGACACTTTGCATGGATACAGATAAAATTCATAGAAGTCTCATTTTAGCGCACTAGTAAAGCATTTAGATAAGCTCAACTACTTGTTACCATCTGATGATCCAGAGTAAATAGCACAATTTTGTCATCTGCAGCTCCAGAGATACCACCAGTGCATGGTGAATCAACTGTTAGGCTTAACACTGCACAAGAAACAAATAGACATGATCTCCATCTCAAAGAAAGAACAAAGAGAAGGGATAGAAAAAAACTGGCTGGCAACACTAGACCTAGTAGTGAATGGGCTTCTTTATAAAACTGGTGAGAAACAGAGAAACTACAACATGAATAAGTATGAGACATACTCCACATGTTAAGTTCAACACTGCACAAGGAGCAAATTGACAGGATCTCCATCTTAAAGAACGAACAAAGAGAAGGGAAAAGGAGAAGGTTAAATTTCCGGATCAGAGTTTACAGGCTGTATCTACATGGGTCCCCCGATCATCTAATCTTATTGTAGACTCTCCAGCTTGTGAAGGAATTAATAGACAGGGATTAGCTTGAGGAAGTTATCCATTAGATTGACAGAAAAGGCTATTGGGCTACCTTGGGTTGAATGTGGTCTTGCACTGAACTACATGGAAAATTGTGTCACTCTCTTGTGGACCTACCCTTAGTTTAAGGCAAATAGTCCCTAGTGATTCTTGGGTTGACCCGGGGAGAATGGGCCGCGCTGGCCCATAATATGCTCCTCGTAATATAATGCACAGTGGCATGTTGTGCATAACCTTTGTACTTGTTATCTATTTGCAATAAAAATTTTCAAGTTTACTGATAAAAGAAAAAGGAAAGGAAAAGACTGGCTGACAATTAAACCCAGATTGCAACACGCACAAGTATGAGACAGATTCCACATGTTGGGCTACAAACCTGGCTCTGAATGAAATTTCACAGAAGTTAATGGGATAGCAGGATTTCTCATGTCCCACCAGGCGATGCTTCCATCTTCATAACTGCAACCAGTGAAGCAAGTCAGGCTAATACTACCTCCCCAGTAATAGTTGTATATTGAGGTGAGGGAAGAGTGACCCTCTAAAAAGAATATTAAATAATAATAATAACAGCAACAACATTAACATTATCACCATTTAGTATGATGACTACAATAACGAGATAATAACAACAATAACAATAATAACAATGATAATAAACCACACCTTTTCCTGCCTAAATAAACAATTTGTAAATAGAATAATAAAGGAAATTATGTCAATATTTTCAAGTTTTTCTTTTACTCATGTTTATCAAACCGGACAGTTTGCATGTTTCCTAAAAGCAGGAAAGTTCAAACATTAAGTCTGATTTTATACCACAATAGTTTAAGAACAAAGCTGAAATCAAAGAGGTCCAGGTACCAGTCCAACCAATCCAACCATCTGGTCTTTGTCCAGATTCCAAAACATTGGCTGGTCCCAAGCACAAATGCAAGAAAAGTAATGTACCAAGTTGGAAGTCAACCTTGGTGATGCAGATACCACCATGGCTGAGATTGCTGCTCTGGTAACCACTGATAGGATTACCAAGCAGTGGGTGAAGCCAAAGATGTAGGGAGTGGACCTTCAATATTAACACATATTTTAGCAAGATTAGGGAGACCATAGCATATCTTGCATCCCAGATCCAGTGATCCCCAAGAGAATTAAATATGGTTGACAATGGACTTGCAAGCAATGGCATTCTTGTATGGCAATCTGATCTTTTCTATGGTAGTGCATACATCCTTTCATGTATACCACTTGCCTATAGCTAATATAATTTTATACCATTAAATTTTCTCAAGAGTTGGAAGCCAGCATGAATCCTTTGCCCATCTTTTCATGCAGTACAAGATACACACATCATATGCTAAGCATGATAACTGATAAATATCTTAATAATCTCCCCAAAATGTTTAGGGAATTAGATAATTGTTTTCCAAAGGCTTAGTTTGCAAGGAGTATATGTAGGGTACAAAACCTTATATTTTGTATTATTTTGTATGTATTTGTACTATGCATATTTGTATTTGTACTCTTTCCAAACTGAACCTTAGTTTCAAAGCAAAATTTGATTTTGAAGGGTGTGATCTTAAAACATTGAGGAAGCTGAAAGAAACATCACTAAGCTGAAAGAAACATCACTGCACATGCCCATTGAGAAAATTTTCAACCTGCTGCTAGAGGTGGGGGTAATAGATTAACATCCACATTTAGTTATACACTTGTGCAGACAATATTTTCATCATACACTAAATAGGATAAAGGTATTAACAAACCCAGCCAAAACATTTAGGAAACTCTGATATTCTGATGGTAGAAAAGCTTGAACAGCCATACACATTCCTGCCACAGAACCATAAGTTACATGTCAAAATCATCCATCAGAATGTTTACTTCGGTAAGGCAAAGAATGATGTACACTACAATATGCAACGAGTCAAAATATGTAAACAATTGACAGATAAGCATTTACAGAGACACAGGTTGCCAGTTAGTCTAGATAAACAGGATTTAGATCTTCTTGTTTGCTGAAGTACAGCAGTAGAAGAAGCTTGTGAATGGGCGGCAATGTGTTCTCAGCTGGCCCTAGAAGCTATTATGTGTATTAACAATAAGATATTACAGGAATAGACTAGAATGCCCCTGATTAGTGATGGGACACCTAGACATAATCAAGGTCCAAAATATCAATATGCCCGATACGCCAGTAGGGGCTTATCGGGCCATATCAGTACCTTTTTTTTACTTTTTTTCAATTTTTTTTTCAAAACCAGTTCAGGGGGGCCGGTTTAAGGCTCCTCCACCCCCTGAACCAGTCAGAACCCCGATACACCCTCTGTAGGGGCATATCAGGGAGCTCCCGAAACAATACGTATCGGCCGATGTCGATACTTTGAACCTTGGACATAATAAAATAAAACAGGTTTAGGCCCAATAACTAAAGGCCCATAACAGACTATAGAACTGGAACATAAAAGATAAATAAGCCCACCAACACTTAACCACTCGATCCAACACCCCCCCCCCAAGCTAAAGCATGGATGTCAATCATGTTTAGCTTGCCAAGTAAGCGTAGGATCACTGAAGACAGTCCTTTTGTCAAAACATCAGCAATCTGCATCTCAGAGGGTGTATAAGGAATGCAAAGTTCGCCCAAAACAATTCTCTCTCTTACAAAGTGTCGATCAATCTCAATATGCTTAGTCCTATCATGTTGTACTGGGTTATTTGCAATGTTGATGGCAGCCTTGTTGTCACAATACAGCTTGAGAGGACCATCAACCTTCATCTCGAGCTCACCAAGGAGGGTCCTAAGCCACAATAGTTTTGCAACACCATGTGCCATAGCCTGATATTCAGCTTCCACACTTGATCTTGCAACCACATTTTGCTTTTTACTTCTCCAAGTAACCAAATTCCCTCCAACAAATGTGCAATATCTGGAAGTAGACTTCCTATCTCCAATTGATCCAGCCCAATCTGCATCAATATATGCCACAATTTCAATTTTATTGTGTTTTTTGAACAAAATTCCTTTCCCTTGGCATTTCTTCAAATACCTAAGGATCCTTTCAACTGCATTCATATGAGGAATCTTGGGAGAGTGCATGAACTGGCTAACAACATGCACTGCATAAGCTATATCAGGTCGGGTAAGAGATAGATATATCAATTTTCCCACCAGCTTTTGGTATCTTTCTTTATCAAGGTAGTCATCTCCAACTGATTCCTAGAGACAATGATTCTTCTCAATTGGAGTATCTACTGGTCTACTCCCCATCATACTTGTCTCCTCTAGATGATCAAGAACATACTTCCTTTGACACCCTCTTGTGACCTTGCAACTTCAATTCCAAGGAAGTATCTCAGATGGCCTAAATCTTTGATCTCAAATTCAGATGCCAAGAACTCCTTTAATCTTTTTATCTCTTCCGGATCATTCCCTATAATCACCATATCATCCACATAGACTATGAGTGTTGTAAACCTGCTACCCTATTTTCTTATGAACAAGGTATGATCTACACCACTCTGAGTGTATCCCACTTTCTTCATGACCCCACAGAGCCTTTCAAACCAAGCTCGAGGAGATTGGTCAAGTCCATATAATGCTCTCCTTAGCCTACAAACCTTCCCATGAAAATCATAACCAGGTGGAGAATTCATGAATACCTCCTCATGTAGATCATCATTCAGGAAAACATTATTCACATCCAACTAATGTAGCTCCCATGAAAAATTTGTAGCTAATGACAATAGAACCCGGATTGTATTAAGCTTTGCAACTAGAGCAAAAGTCTCCTTGTAGTCAATCCCTTCCTTTTGACTAAACCCTTTTGCCACTAGTCTGGCCTTATATCTTTCAATGGAACCATCCCCCTTGTGCTTCACAGTGAACACCCACTTACATCCCACAATGCTCTTCCCTTCTAGTAGATCCACTAATTCCCAAGTCCTGGCCTTCATTAAGGCTTTCATTTCCTCATTCATTGCCTCTATCCATCTTGGGTCAGACTCTGCCTCTGAGTACCTAGCAGGGACATGAACAGAAGAAAGAGCAAACACAAAGGAATAATAGCGAGCAGATAAACATGAATAAGAAACGTATTCAGCAATGGGATATCAAGTAGTAGAAGAACGGGTAGGCTTGCGAAGAGCAATGGGAAGATCCAAATCAAAAGTAGGAGTGATAGGATTACCTGGAACCAATGAGACAGATTGATCCGAGTCCAATTGGTTGTTGCCACAAGTTGGAGGATCTTTTTTCTTCTTCTGTAGGCAATTCTCGAATCATTTTGTTGTCTATTAATGTCACCAGTCACATCCTCAACATCAGGAGCAGTAACAGGTTCAATGGGAGTCTCACTAAATTCACCTAGGCAACTAAAACTGGGATGATCAGGAGGAGATGGAAGACCCAAGGCTGAAAGAGGCACAAAGAAGGAAGGAGAGGAAGAATCCTCTTCCATCCTAATAGTCTCCCCTTGAAGAGAATTCCTAGAGGACTGAAAATAGGACTGACTCGAAAAACACCACATCCTTGGTGACATATTTTTTCTTGGTAATTGGATCATAGCACTTATAACATTTTTTGTGTGGGAGAGTATCCTAGGAAAACCCCATTTGTAGCCCTAGGATCCAACTTAGTCTTCTTAGGATCCTTAACATGAACAAAACACACACAGCCAATGACTCTAGGAGGAAGAGGGAAATTTGGAAGGTTAGGACAAATGACAGAGAAAGGAGTTCTCATACCCAACACCCTAGATGGCATTCTATTTATCAGACACGATGTTGCAAGGACTATTTGAGACCAATAGTGCTTGGGAACCTTGTGCTGAAATAGTAAGGCTCGAGCTATCTCCAATAAATGTCTATTTTTGCGCTCAGCAACCCCATTCTGTTGAGGGGTACTAGCACAAGATGACTGATGTAAATACATGCATCCTCCATGAACAGATTCAAGGAGCTTTCAAAATACTCAACAGCATTATCTGAACGAAATTGTTTAATTTTCTTGCCAAATTGAGTTTCAATCATTTTATAAAATGCCATGGCTATCCGTGATACTTCATCACACCCTTTTAACAAGTAGATCCATGTGCATCGTGAATAGTGATCAATAAAGCTAATAAAGTAACGAAAGTTATCTAATAGAAACAAGAGGTGAAGGGCCCCATACATCAGAATGAACTAAATCAAAAGGAGCTTGAATTTCATTACTAGAAATTGGATAAAGAGTTCTACATTGTTTTGACAACTAACACACTTTACAAACCAAACTCTGACTCGAAACACACTTGAACAACTCAAGAAACAATCCTTGCATTAAAGAAAAAGGTAAATGACCTAGTCAAGCATGCCACAAATGTAACCTAGCTACTGACTCCTCATTATCCCGACCACTAAAAGCAGATGATTGTAAGGCTGAACTGATGTCTACATCAAAATAATAGACCTTAAACTCATGACCGCTCCCAATCGTTCTCTTCGTCAATCTGTCCTGAAAGACACAATGAGTAGGAAATAATGTTATGCTATAGTTTAAATTTTTGGTAAGCTTAGAAACATGGTGGAGACGGAAGATGGTGGATTTAAGAGAAAGATCCTTGCTTAGGTTAACCGCCCCTTTTCCAAAGATGGTGGAGACGGAACCATCAGCAACTCTCATCTTATCTTGGCTAGACATCAAATGATAAGAAAATAAAGAAGACATGTGCGTCATGTGGTCAATAGCACCGGAATCAATAATCCAAGAATTAGGCATTATAGGACCAGTCACACTATGAGCAGAGACAATACCTGATTTGGCAAGAGAGGTGGATGCAAGGAAATTGTTTTTTATGGCTCGTCTAAGGATTTCTACCTCATCAGCTGTGAAATCAAAGTAGGACCCTGATATGTGGGAATTAGTGGTCTGTCCCATTAGAGGAGGTGCAACTATAGGTGTGTCCTTTGGGCTTTCACCACTGTTACTTATGACAACATTTCCACTTGTTGTTTGACCCTTCTAAGGCTTCTTGTCTTTCCTTAATGTAATTGGTTTCAGGTGAGGATAAAGAATCCAGCAAGTCTCTTTCAAATGTATGTCTCCTCCACAATGAGAGCACTTGAGATGCCTCTTGTCTAAATGCTTGCCCCCCTTTTGGGTTGAAGAAATCAAGGCTGAATGCTCAGCAGGCTGCACTTGGATGTCTACTTGCATCTCTTTCCTTCTAACCTCTTCATTCCTTACAAGATAGTAAACATGATGTAAATCTGGAAGCTCATCCCTTCCCAAAATTTGGGATCTTATGCTTTCATACATTGGGTCTAGGCCAGCCAAGAACTTAAAAGCTCTACCTTCTTCAATTTGTTTATCATGACTCTCCTTACCTCTTGTATTTTCCAAGTCAAATACAAGGTGGTGGTTCAGTTCTTCCCATAGTCCTAAAGTTGCAAAGTTGCAACAGACATATCCCCTTGTCTCAATGCAACAATATCTTGGATTAGCCTATAAATTCTTGCATTGTTCTTCCATTGTCCGTAGGTTTTAGACACCTTCCCCAAATCTTAGAGGCTGTAGGGAAGTGTTGAACAGTCCTTGCTACTATTGGAGTCACTTAGACAAGCAGCCAGGACATAATAGTAGCATTCTCCTTGTGCCAAGTTGAGTAATCAACATCATCCTTTTTAGGCTCCTTTTGTCCATCTATATAACTCATAAGTTCCCGGGAAATAATGAAAAGCTTGGATGAAACAGACCATTCTTTGAAGTTGTATTCATCTACAACACACTGGTGATCTGCAGGCTATGCAGATTTGGGTTTTCTAGGTTTGAAGACCTCCCACCAGTCCTATTG